TATATACTATTATCAATTGTATCTCCACACAGCTCCTAGATCATTAAGCTGACAATTCTTTGTTTTCACACATCTTCTGTGTTAGCTTAACATGCCTTTAAAATTTATCTCCTTTAGTGTACTCAACAAAAGATAAATTTTAATTAAGTCAAACCCATCATTCAAAAATATTTAATATTTCATAGTGTCAAACATATCCCTAATAGATCAGCCTTGAGTATACTCAATAAGTTGAGATTGGTTGAGGATTCTGATTTTTCACTATAATGATGGAAGATGAATATAAATATGACTTAATATTTTTGTGAGGGGTTTATCATGCAAATGTCTCATTCGTAACAATTATATATACTTTATTATACATATAGCATGCAAATAAATATACATATAATAGTGTGGACAATTATGAACTTTACTATCTAGACTTCCCGAGTCATAAGGAAGACTAGTTGGTTAGTTCCTAGAGGACATATGAATTATACAATGCTCTATCTCTATGGTCTCCTACACTTCTTGTTTCTCCAATTAGTTCAGTTGCAACATGTATCTTATACTAATTGGCATGCAAGCCTAAATAATTGGACACGCATGCCCATAAAATTACAACGGACTCACATGTCTAAAATAAATAAGAGTTCGTATGTTCATAGAACAACAAGAATAATATTAACCATTCAACACATCCATATGGTCGAGTCCATAATCATCTTCTAATAAAACATTCATCATATAAATGTCTTCCTATATAATATCTAACATATGCAAACATGTTACAAATTTATAGCAATTAAATTTGTTTAAACTAATTTAGACAAATGGATTGGAACCATTAAATAATTAATTAATCAATTTAATTAATTAATTAATTTAATTAGAGGATTTATTTAATTAAAATCAAATCTTAATTAAATATCGAATTAGAGTCCTCTGATTCCACAATTATAGGGCATAACTATTTAATTAAAATCAAATTCTAATTAAATATCAAATCAGAGTCCAACTTTAATTTCAAAATTTAAGGCAGTTGAATTCAATTAAAATCAAATTTTAATTAAATGCAAAAATTAGAGTCCAACTCTAATTCCAAGAAAAAATTTAGGGTGAGACAATTAAAATCAAATTTCAATTAAATGTCAAATTAAAGTCCAACTCTAATTACAAAAATATATTAGAATGAATAACTTAATTAAAATCAAATTTTAATTAAATATTAAATTAGAGTCCTGCCCCAATTTCAATTGAATTAACATTTTAATTCAGGATAAAACTCCTAAATGATATAAAATTCAATTTAGGTTCCTCTTTTAGTATTGTAAGATAAGACAAAGATAAGAAAAGGATTAGGATTTAATCCTATACGCGTCACCGTTGTTGAAAATTCAAATAAATGATAACTTTTGTCGGTTGGTAAATCGTTGATTTGTGTGATTTAAAATATTCACTGAATAATTGAGAGAAGCCAACTGCTCTACGTTTTTCATTTATATATTCAATCACTAGGACCCTGTCATTGTAAATTATATTAGTAAAGCAGAGTCTGCACCTTATTAGTTAGTGGAGTTCATCATGATGAACAAGATATTGTTGCTTGCACTTCTTCTTCTGCTACTCTTCGAGAACGGAGAATCACAGTCCATCATCAAGACTCTTCCGGGTTATTCAGGAACTCTGCCTATCAAACTCGAAACCGGGTAAGTTTTTTCATTCTTTATTTCTTTTTTTACGAGTTCAGTCAACTCAGTTGTCTGTAATTGATAATTAGATACATTGAGGTGGGAAAAAATGATGAAGTAAAGCTATTTTACTATTTCATTGAGTCCGAAAGCAATCCTAGAACGGACCCTCTCCTACTTTGGTTCACCGGTGGACCGGGCTGCTCTGATTTTACAGGCCTCTTTTATGAAATAGGTAATCTCTCTTCATATATATATTTGTGCAATGGGTATTTATATATCCTTTTCGCTTGTTTTAAGAATGAATTTTGAAATAATGTTTTGATTGAGAATGTTTGCTTAAAAAATAAGAAATTTTTTTTGAGTTTGTTTATAATATTATTTTATTAAACTAATAAGTGTGAGAAGAATTATTTTTAAGGATAATGGAAGTAAAACAGGGGAAAAAATATATTTTGGAAACAATAATAATAAAAAAAAATCTTAAATAAAAAGAAACTTAAAATATTAAGAGTTGGAATAAAATTAAATTAAAAAGAAAAGACAAATATCAATGCATTTCAATATTATGTAATTGTTATTATAAGAAAAAACACAAACTTGGGAATGTGTGGACTCTGGAGCAAATAGGAAAGGATAGATTGCTTACATCTGTCTTTTTTTCTTTTTGAAGGTGTAATAAAATAATAATGATTTTTCAGTTCTTTGTTTTTATGTGAGAAAAAATAAAACAAAAGGATTGGGCTGTATGACAACTAAAGTTTGTGGTGACTCAAGTTGGTTTTAAATGTCAATCCTGAACTTTCTGAGTTCTAATTTTTTTATTTTCCAGTATATGTTTTTGTCTCAAACCATAGTTTTATATTATTAAAACAATTTTATTCTTCAATTCACATTAGCAAAAGATAAATACGAAATAAATGAAAAAATCCAACCCCTTCTCCTAGGGGCGGATCCAGAAAGTTGAGTGAGTTAGGACGGTCGTTGGTTATTAACGATCGCAATAGTGAGATTATTACTAATATTTGCTTAAACAATATAAAAAAATTAATATAAGCTAAAAGTCATATACAATGAAAATATAATACAAAATAACAAGAAAAAAATACATTTTTTTTTGAATCATATATGTATGATTAAGTTTCAAGTTTAACGAATTTAAGCGAGACGCGATAAAACTTATACGTAAAGCATGATTAAATAGTAAATACAAATTCCAAACTTAAGCGAAACTTATGTAAAGTTTTTAAAACAATAATTTTTATAACTATTTTTTACCTAAAAAAAGTGTTTTTCAAACTCATAAAGGAATAAAGAATAGTATTTAGATTGCCTAAATTTAAATTTTACAAAATAAATTGATAAATTCTAACAATAAAATTATATATTATGCATTGTTATCATACCCGACCCGATTGTTGATTGTACAAATTATTGGAACCGTTAGGTCATTGTAATGTTGAATTTTAGTTTGAAAAAAATAAATTTTAAAATAAATATTACTGTATTTCTTTTATAAAATCGTATATATATTTTCTTGTGACAATTGTTAAATTCTTGCATTGTCATAGTGGTCAAGCATTCCATTATCACATACTGATTATAGGTTCGAATCTCGCCTATTGCAATTGTCATATAAAATTTTGCTTTGAGCAATTTGGTGGCTAAATAATAATTTATTTATTTAATATATATATTTTTTATTAAAAGTATGCAATTGCAAGCTTAAATTCTGTTGTTGAACCTCGTGTTAATTTAATGGTTCAAGTTTGTATTGAGACAAATATATTAATGTTGTTACCTTTTTGTTCATTCTAAAACAGTGGTTTGGAACGAAATCAAACTACAAAAAATTGTTTTGTTTGAAATTTTTTCAAACCATTTAAAATGATTTGATTTGAAAATAATTAAAAATCCGTCTAAGTCGAACCGTGTCCGTCCTTGTACCCCCATTCTCCCCTCCCCAATGATTTCCTGACAACACATAATTCAGATTAAAATATTTAACGACGAGTTTAAAATTACGAGCCAAAGATGGCTCTTAATTTTCATTTTGATGTTACTATTTTGGTTTATCCTTAGGCTATTTTATTTTTCACTTGTCATCATGGGCGGACTTAGGGGGGTCCTGGAGGGTAAGTGTCCCCTAACTTTTGAGATTTTTTTTTTTTAATAAAATTGTATTTGGTATCGATTGAAATCTAAATTTTAATCTAAATCAAAGTTAACATTTAATTTTAATAATATATTTCATGAAATTCATTACTGTTTAACTTTTATCAAAATTTATTAAAAATTTGATTTTAATATCCAACATACACAGGCAAAATCACAATAAATCAGAATTTTGCTAATTTTAAAAATTCTCCAACAATCGTACGCTAATTGAATTTTCAAATTGCTTATGTCATCTCAAAACTTATTTCAAGAACTACATTATGGACATATCGAATAATTCAAACATATATCGAAAATAGTTAAAAATACGTTAAACGTAAGTCTTAAAAAAAAGACGTCTAACTTGTTTTTTTTTTAAATTCAATTATTTCATTAACATTTATTATTTCATTAATTTTCATCATTTTATTAGGAAATTTTATATGGAATATGATATCAAAAATTTTCAAAATTTTACATCCGAAAAAGTCATATCCCATGTAAATTTTCGGATGTAAAATTATATGAGGTATGATTTTTTTGGACGTAAATATTCGATTGTAAAATTTCTCTCAATTTCTTTACAAGTTCGATTGTGTCCCCTAACTTTTAAGTTTTGCGTCCGTCCCTGCTTGTCACGGTAGGTTCTTGGTACCATTGTGAAGTATTCATTACGAATTTCACAATGCATCTTTCGATTTAAAAAGTCGTTAAACAATGGATTTAAAGTAACAAATCAAACATTGGTTAAAAAGCTGCTAAAAATATATTTTAATAATATGACCTTATTATCTTCTAATTCCCATTTTGTACCACCTTTTTCTGCCTTTTTTGGATTATATTCTTTACTTGTAGGGTAGGTTTTTGGTACCAGTTCAAAATATTCCTGAAAAATTTTGCAAAACATCTTTCAGATAAAAAATTAAAAGATGAATCTAAAATAAGAATTCAAGAATAACCCTTTGAATTGGATTTAACAATTCGATTTTATTTTATTTTTAATCATTTTAATTAAATTTATTTTTGACGTCAATTTTACTCACCTCACTCCTACAATAAAATATAAAAAAATGATGAAATATTGAAATGTTACAAGATCTTAAGCAATTTTTTCAATAAATACGGTAGAATTAAACTCAGAAAACCTTGGGTTCCCCATCTATGTAGTGCCCCTATAACTACTATGAGACGTGTGCAATCGAATAACCTGCACACACTCAAGGCCGACCTTGTTTTCTGCCCTGTTTTCCCTAGCTATTTAATTATTGTTTTATATTATTATTTACATATTTTTTTTCTTATTTTTTTGAAAATGCTTCAAATTTAAAAATAGAAAATATGATTTGGGGCTGGCATACAGCATGGCAATTTGCCATCCCTACTCCCCAACTATTGAAAAGTTGATTTTGTATCAATTTCAGCAAAATATTAGGATAGGTTTCGATAGTCTACTCGTGTAAGTGAATAGACTAACTTGTTCTACTTGTCGAGTAGATAATAGCAGTATATTTGGAATCTTAAAATCAATTCCGAATGAATGTTAAATTGTTATCCAAAGTTGGAAGGAAAAATCAGATTTCAGCATTTTTTGGCGCCGCTCGAGTGGTAGCCTAGTGATAGGCCCACTGCTTTGGGGCGCTCGAGTGGCTTTCCAATAGTAGGTGAGCGACTTGAAGGGCTACAACCCTTGATGGAAGATACTGAGTTTTGGGGAGTATCTCTTCGTCTACAACCCCTCGTTTCTATAAATTGGATCCCTTGATTGCTGTAAAAGCATTCCATAACATATGCATTGATTATATCACATCAAATTCATCGTATTGTCTTGGTTTTCTTGCATTAGTATCATGGTTATCGTAGAGAGAAAACTCATTTCGAGTTTGTTGGTCTTCGTTATTTGGAGTGCTCCTATTATGAGACACGATCGTTTTATCTTGGGAGATGAATGTCGAAAACCGTTAACCCCCGTACAGGACATTATCGTCTTAAGGACAAATAGTTCAACTCTTGTCTCGACCAAATTCATGTCAGTTGCTTTCTTCTTCCTTTTTTATGGTTTTAAGTTCTTATAACTTTCGTTTTGATTTCATGTTATGTTTGATTTGATTTTTCCGATAAGAAGAAATTAATTCTCTACCTTTCATATCCAACTTTAGTAAATCGAAATTCTATTCAATTTTATATTGAAGAAAAGGTATGTTATTGAACATAATAATATGCACATTTTTATTTTTTCCAACAAATATAAAATGGAAAAAATTGTTGTCACGTCTGAAATTGAGAAGTAATGGACAATAGAGAATGTCAAAAAGAAGACAGGTAATTCCAATGCGAGGTTCATCATTCACCTAATACAATAAAAAGTGTAGCCTAACATGGATAAAATAAAAGAACAATAAAAATAATAAAGAGATGACATCACCCAAAAACTAAGAATTAGAGTTGAAATCTTGAAACTTGAAGTGAAAACCCTGGTTCTGGCCCTCTTCCTTCCTCTTCACTGGTATTTTTCTCTCGAAGAATGCATTCCCCCCTCCCCCACCCACCCCCCTGTTTTTGGATGTAATTAGGGTTATGAAGAAGTCCTAGATGCGTTGTCATAAGTATTTGATTCAAATAAGGAAACCAAAAATTTCGCACCAGATTTGTTCCATGTGACCGCATGGTTATAAGCCATACAATCGCATCGAACAACTCAACTGGTCCAAAAAATTCCCTGATTCAGTCTGGGTGACCGCATGGACTTTATACCATGCGATCGCATGGTTTTCACTTTTTTCCCGCCGAACAACTTTCGGTATTTTGGTCATAAATGGGTCTAAAACTAAGATTGAAAATTCAAAGCATAACTTTTTCGAATGGAAGTTGATTTATGATAGTATTTCGACTCTATTTCAGCCCTTTGGTATCTTTCCTCATCCAATTGATACCCAACACTCTCAAATCTTCATTGTGGGATCGACATGACTTTTTAGTATTTGCAATTGAGTTCTCATACTTTGCTTTTGCTTCATTTAAGCCCTTTTTCGCTTGTTTTTTCGAATTTTCACCACGTTCATCATTATAGTCCTACAAACACAATTTATGNAATTTTCACCACGTTCATCATTATAGTCCTACAAACACAATTTATGTCAAATTAAGCCATATTCAAGCATTTATGCCAACAATTAGTCATGTAATGTAGCAAAATACACGTTAGAAAACGCACTTATCACACGTTTTTATTTTTTCCAACAAATATAAAATGGGAAAAATTGTTGTCACGTCTGAAATTGAGAAGTAATGGACAATAGAGAATGTCAAAAAGAAGACACGTAATTCCAAAATAAAATCACTGTCCTCCATTTTTCGATTCATGATTGTAAATAATTAATTTCGCTTCTCTAATTGATAAATATAATCTTCAAAGCTAGAAAGAATTTATTATTTTGATAACCCCAGTTATAACGTCATGAGCTTCTGTACTTGTGTGCAGGTCCTTTAACTTTTGATATTGCAAATTTTGATGGAAGCTTACCATCAATTCTCCTAAAACCATATTCATGGACGAAGGTCAAAAACAGCTTTCAATCGATGTTTCACGTCTTGCTAATATTATGGTAACATAATGATATGTTTTTTAGGTTGCCAATATTTTATTCATGGACTGGCCCGTTGGTACCGGCTTTTCCTATTCAAACACCTCACAAGGGTATTCTTCCTCCGACACCAAATCAACAAAAGATAATTACACATTTCTTAGGAAGGTAGGTTGACATTATTAATCAAATATATTGAATTTCTAAGTAGAAATTGCATGCAATAAAAATTAAGTTCTTTAAGGAGAAATGTGGGATTTAGAAATTGTCGTATACCCACTGAAACTCCCACAACTATTTGTTGGATTAGTCAACTAACAATATATTGAATATGCAGTGGTTATTGAATCATCCCATGTTTATCAAAAATCGTTTATATGTTTCGGGAGACTCCTATGGAGGCAAACTAGTTCCCATGGTTGCCTTGGAAATATTACGAGGTAGTATATATAAAAAATAGAAACAAAAAAGTTTTTATTCAAGTTTTTCTTTTCCACCAACTTAGCTTGATTAAGTTGTTACTGTGGATGGTAATGCAGGTAATGAAGCAGGACTGCAGCCACGAATGAATCTCCAAGTACTAATAATATTTGATCATCTTGTGGAAATATATGATTTCTCCTATAAATATTCCAAGTGTAACATATTTCATGTTAATGATAGATTATTTATGGAATTGAAACAGGGTTACATTATAGGCAATGGAGTAACAGATCCAAAGATTGAACGTAATGCACAAGTTTCATATGCTCATCGCATGGCACTTATATCAGATGAATATTTTGAAGTAATTGTATTTTTGATTAAATATTTTGATGATAAAATGAAGGCTCAAACAACGAACTTCTCATGGAAACCTTTTCTTAGCTAAATCATTGCAGTTATTCATGTGATTATTTTTCACAATTTCAGGCAGCAAAAATTAGCTGTAATGGGGAATACGACAATCCCGATCCAAATAATCTACAATGTCTTGCGGACCTTACACGGATCCACAAGGTTACACTATGCTTCTTATGTTATTTATTCTTCATTTCATTTATCATTTATTATTGATGTAAACAGAAACAAGTTTCATGATATCCTTATGTATTGCAGCGTATAGATCCTGTAAATGACGGTCACATTTTGGAACCGAAATGTATTAAACCAGCTAAACTTGGACGGAATCATAAATTTCAGGAAGATTATACAACTGATCACCTCCTCCTGCCATCTGAAAAAGGAGGAACGTGGTGTCGCGTAACTTCATCCTCTCTATATATCAGTACATGTTCCTGTAAGAATTTATAAGGTCTTTGATCAAGAGCAGGTTCCTTTTGTGCAGAGTCAAAACTATGCATCATGTTATGCTTGGGCAAATGATCCGACTGTCCAAGAAGCTCTTCATATTAGAAAGGTATTTAAGTAGACAAAACATTAATTATTCAGTACATTTTACTCTATGCTAACTATCAAGAAAAAGGAAAATAGTATATTTGATCAAAAAAATTTAGGGTAATCTTTTATTTTATTACCAGGGAACCATACTAGAGTGGAGGAGATGCAATCACAGCATATCCTATAAACATAATGTACAAAGTGTTGTACAATATCATAAACTCCTCAGTAAGAAAGGTTATGAAGCTTTGGTATATAGGTAAGTCATATATATTCTTTTATTGTAGAAATCACTGACTTAATTTATTCTAAGTTTAATCTAATCCATCAACTAAAATATAGATGTTGTTCGCAACTCATACTATCCTTGATCGAAAAATGTAAATAAAGAATAATTCTAATATATTTTTCGAAACTTGGAGATGGAAAAAAAAACTTTTAGGAGAGGAGATGATAATATTCAAGAGATCACTTCAAACTTTTCTTCAATTGATTTGTCGAAAATGAGTCCAATCATTAGCCCTTTATATGCTTTACAAAACATGAACTAAATACTTATACTCTTTAATAAATGCAAACTAATCCCCAAAATATTTGATGTATATCTCAAGTACATAAATAAACTAGTGCATTAATATATATATGAATGACCCAGAAGACATTAATGAAGGTTATTAATTAAATGATGAACTTCATTAACATAACCTGTCAACACCTCGTTCACTTACGGTAACGCTGAGAAGACTTTGAAATTCTGAAAATGCATCAAACTTGCACTGCTTGGTGAAAATGGTTGATCTTGAGACTTCACATAATTTTTGTCGATACGATCTCGAACAAAATGATATTTCATGTCAATATGTTTGCTTCAATCCTGAAAATAGGATTTTTACTTAACGATAATGCTGACTTGTTGTCAATGAAAATTTTGGTCAGACCACCTTGTTCCAAATGAATTTGCTTCAACAAATTTATAAGCCAAATTTTCTGACAAACACATGATGCAACAACCACATATTCCTCTTCACAACTTGAAAACTTAACAATAGGTTGCTTCTTTATAACTATGTAAAAATCATATCTCCCATAAAAAATACATGACCACTTGTGCTATATTTCTACCATCCATATCCCCGGCCACTCACTATCTCTACATCCAACAAGCTTGAAACTATCAGAATATAAATAAAATAGACCATAGCCAATATTGCCTTTGGTGTATTATTGGATTCTCTTTGTGGCCATCAAACGTTTTACCGACAACAAGACTAGTCAATATTTGGTCTTATACATGTCAAGTGTCTTAAACTTCGAACAAGAATCTTGTAAAGAGTTGAATCAGCTTTTCACTATCAAATCATGATAATTTTATTCCAAATCCTTCGATTCTTCGATCTCACTACAATAAAATTATTGTTTCATGTAAAGATCAATTTTTTTTTCCAATCAATTAAAGATTATTTATTTTATCTATGTATCTCTTCATCTCATTAGCAACCACAAAACTCATGAAGTGTAATCTCAAATTTATTTCCTTTATAGAAAGTACCTCATATTATCCTTTCAAAGATTGGAGGCAACCCTTTTTAACTTTGTTTTTATGAATCTCCTATGCTTACATACGGTAGCAACATTCAATGCCTTTTGAAAATTTTTACTTCCAAGTGCTTGGTGAAACATGTTAAGAACCCTCTAATCCTTCCTTCTAGTTGCTGTTACAAAATTTAGTTACATAATATAATATTTGTATACTATTTAGAGAACAAACGAAAAATTATCCAATGAACAGTTAACTATTTAAAAAAAAACATGAATATGAATTAAGAACTGTAGAAATGTATATTCGCCGAACTATTTAAAAAAATTTGTAAATAGGAATTAAGAACTGCAGAAACGTGTAATCACTAAAAGGGAACATTATTTGTGAACCTAGGCCTGTGTATTACACAATGTCCTTAAAATAGCTTCACACTGTCACCGTATGTGCTTGAGGTTTCACACGAGTGTATATCTCTCAGGATACAACGGAAAACTAGTAAAAGTTGAGCACTTTATTTTTACCCTGACAGACTGAATTTCTATCAGAAAAGGATCACCAAGATTTCGGACAGAAGGAAACTGGAAGCAACAGTGTATTGAGAGGATAAGATAAATTTCCTGTGTGTGAAATTGAGGGAAAACTGACTGTATTAATAGGCTCTAATTGAAAATTAACAGACTAAGAATTTTTTGTGTTACAGTCTTTAACACCACCATTAAGCCATATTAAATCTCTCTATTAGTACATACATGATCATATGAGTTTCAGGAGTTAAGAGAATTTGGAAGGTTTTATTTGGAGAAAATAATAAAAATATATAGGAAATAAAGGCAAAACGTGGACCATCCAGGGGCCAATTTTTTTTCCGTTTGGTCTGACGTTCGTATACGTAGGTCGCATTCGCACACAAGTTTAAAGTCAACCTTCATACTACACATAATTACACACTTTCAAAGTGTAGCCATAAATAAAGTGATATTTACCTTTGTAAACCTTCTATATGAGATAAACAAGTTTTACCTCCAACACATTAACCTCTTCAAATTAATCACTTTGAGCTTCAATTTCTCATTTACATGCTTATCATTTTTGGCAAGTACATATATGATTTCGATGTCCTCACGAAGGAGAACACAAATCAACCTTAATCTTCCAAAACGAACGAATGGGTCCCTCTCAAAATTATGCTAAAAGTAGCCCACTAATGTCAACATTCCAACATGTCCCCACATGAATGAAAATTGAAGTAATCTCAAATTTATTTCCTTTATCGAAAGTACCTCATATTGTCCTTTCAAAGATTGGAGGCAACCCTTTTTAACTTTGTTTTTAAGAATCTCCAATGCTTACATACGGTAGGAACATTCGACTCCTTTTGAAAATTTTTACTTCCAAGTGCTTGGTGAAACATGTTAAGAACCCTCTAATCCTTCTAGTTGCTGTTACAAAATTTATTTGCAGAATATAATATTTATATATTATTTAGAGAACAAACGAAAAATTATCCAATGAACAGTTTACTATTTAAAAAGAACACGAATATGAATTAAGAACTGTAGAAATGTATATTCGCCGAACTGTTTAAAAAAATTGTAAATAGGAATTAAGAACTGTAGAAACGTGTAATCTCTAAAAGGAACATAATTTGCGAACCGAGGCCCGTGTAATATACAATGTCCTTAGAACAGATTCACACTGTCACCGTATGTGCTTGAGGTTTCACACGAGCGTATATCTCCCAGGATACAAAAGAAAACTAGTAAAAATTAAGCACTTCATTTTTACCCTAACAGACTGAATTTCTGTCAAAAGAGGATCACCAAGATTTCGGACAGAAAGAAATTGGAAGCAACAGTGTATTGAGAGGATAAGATAAATTTCCTGTGTGTGAAATTGAAGGATAACTGACTGTATTAGTAGGCTCTAATGGAAAATTAACGAGTTACTGGTGTTACAGTCTTTAACACCACCATTAAGCCATATTAAATCTTTCCATTAGTACATACATTATCATATGAGTTCAGGAGTTAAGAGAATTTGAAAGGTTTTATTTAGAGAAAATAATAAAAATATATAGGAAATAAAGGCAAAACGTGGACCATCCAAAGGGGCCAATTTTTTTTCCGTTTGGTCCGACGTTCGTATACGTAGGTCGCGTCCGCACACAAGTTCAAAGTCCAAAATTTATTTCGGTCTGTGATTTGCACCCTCTACGCACGTACGTGGAGAGAGCCTCTATGCCACACATTATTACACACTTTCAAAGTGTAGCCATAAATAAAGTGATATTTATCTTTGTAAAATTCCTATATGAGACAAACTTAAACAAGTTTTACCTCCAACACATTAACCTTTTCAAATTAATCACTTTAAGCTTCAATTTCTCATTTACATGCTTATCATTTTTGGCAAGGACATATATGATTTCGATGTCCTCACGGAGAACACAAATCAACCTTAATCTTCCAAAACGAACGAATGGGTCCCTCTCAAAATTATGCTAAAAGTAGCCCACTAATGTCAACTTTCCAACATGTCCCCACATGAATGAAAATTGAGATAAACATAGAAACAGGAGACATAAAGACTTGGTGATATGGTTCAATGGTTGAAACCTACATAGGATAGGTAGGTATTACCATTTGAAGCTTTCCTTCTGAAAGTATATTTACTTTAGTAGCTGACCAATGGACACGATGTCTTTGAGTTGTTCTGCTTTTAATGTAAATGATGATATAATCCACACAGGCTTTTTTCTAACACAATTCAATTCTCATTATTATGTTCGTTTCTAGCCATGAACATCCGCCGATTCTGCAAGAGTTTCTAAGAATTAAGCCTTACAATTTCCTTAGAAGCGGCCCACTTCTTTCTAACATAGGTGATTTCTTATTACAAGTAACCCGCATAACTCGCTCTATTTTCGACGCATAAGAATCATTAAGAGCCTATTAATTATCCTTCATCATTACGGGCATCACTGTTACATCATAGGAATTGATATAAGATAATAATCCCCACAATGATTCAATTAAGTCTTTACAATTAGGTTGTCCCTTTGATCCTAGATCTTGGGATCTTCAGTCAACTGTGTTGAGTTTCTTTTATATTAATTCATTCGTTCAAGGGCTTAAGTCTCATTCATTTCGAGGTTTTCTAAGCAACTCTCTATTTAACTATTTGGTTAACGGTTCCATAATGTTAACCTTTGACCTTACATAGTTAATAAAGATAAGTCCAATTGAGAGTAATTGTCTTATGGTATTATGCCTACGATGTATATGTCTAGACTTACCATTATACATGTTACTTTGTGTCCTTCCAATCGCTAATTGATTATCACAATGAATGCAAATTGCAGGTTCATGTTTTTGACCATTTCTAAATATCCTCTAAAAAGTTGGGTAACCACTCAGCCTCTTTACCACATTAATCTAAAGTTATAAACTCAAATTTCATAGTAGATCTGGCTATAACTATTTGTTTAGAGGATTTTCAAGACATAGTTTCACCTCCTAATATGAATACAAATCCACTAGTGGACTTTGAATCCTTATATCAGATATCCAATTTCCATAACTAAATCCCTCAATGGCTACTAGATATCTAGTATAGTGCAATCCATAGCTACGAATATATCTTAAGTACCTTAGTATTCTTATTATTCCTTTCTAGTTGTTAGCTCCTGGATTACTCATGTTCAGTTTACTAACTGTGTA